CGTATCTGCAGGCCCCGAGCCAATGACGGGCCAGGACCAGCCGGCGCCCGGGTCGTCGGTGTTGAGCACGGTGTTCCGCCACGTCCGGTACGAGAACCTGGTGGCGGGTGTGAGCGGCGGGGTCCTGTCCAACCTCGCGCTCCACCCGCTGGACCTGGTGAAGATACGCTTCGCCGGTAAGACCCCGCGCTGACCCCGGGCTCCTCGTCCTCGTTGTCACCCCCAAACGGGATGAAAAGGGTGCAGGAGGGAGGCCCGGGTCCCCCCTGCGCCTTCCGGACGAAGAGGCGAGCGTTGAAGCTGCGCTCGGTCCGGGCTCAGCGGGGACTAGACTGGAAGCCGGGGGCCTGGTAAAGAGATGCGGCCGCCGCCGTCGCCGGGGTTCCCGAGAGTCAGGGGTGGGGAGCGCAGGTGGAAAAGCCAGAGGCAGGTCCCCACCGGTGTGCAAGGTGGACTCCACGCCTGACTTGTAAAATGAAGGGGTTGGCACGTTACGGGCACAGCCTCGGAAGCACAGGGCGGCCACGTGTGGCGGCCCCGCGGAGAGCAGGATGCAGGTGCGTGGTGTGCGCTCACCTCCAGCAGGTATGGTGCAAGGTCCTGAGAAGGAATAGGTAGGTAGAATCCAAGTGCTTTTTTCCTTAATCCTCAGGGGAGGATGTGTTTATTGATTTTAGATAGAGAGGGAGGGAGAGGAGGAAACACCCACGTGAGAAAGAGGGGGTTGTTCTCCCCTCTAACTCGGAGGAAGAGGGGAGGCCTCGCGGGAGTGTGGGAAGAGTCCAGAGCCTTATTCGCGGAGTCGGGAGATACAGGGGAGTAGTGATGTATTTTCAGGGGGTTTCTGGTTAGGATGACATGTCCAGCACCCAGTCAGGCTTTCCCCTGCCACTGTGGTTCTGGGGGTGTTCACTGGGGCATGGTCACCCCTTCTGCCAATGCGAAGAGTTGACAGGAGGGGAGATGCTACTAGAAGGGGCTCAGGGCTTTGGGTTTGCATCGTAAAAGAGGAGGTCTCTAGGTATAACTGGATTTCCTGGTATGTGTAATCCTGGAAATCTCCTTGAAGAAATGTGTTTCACACTAGGGTGCAGATGAGAGCTTGCTTGTTCTTTGGTTAAATTGTTGAGTGATTCTGGAGGGCAGTTCTGAAGGTCCTGTAACGTAGGGTCGTGGAACTCTCCTGCCCTGGTTTCCATGAGGCTTCAGGAGATTGATTAGTTAGAAGGTAGTTCAGGGTCCCAGCAGGGGCAGAAAAGGGATCCCCTGGGAATTATTTTAGGACTAGAGGCCCGAGGCACGAAATTCGTGCAAGGGTAGGCCTTCCCTTGACTGCCGGCACCTGGGCTTCCCTCGGCTGCTGGAAGCCGGCCCCGCCCCCCACCCGCACCTGCCTTGGCCTGGCGCTGACCGTGTCCGCCCCCCCGCCACCCCATTTTCCCCCCTCAATTAATCGCTCCACCGCTGGTGGCCTGGGCCTCCCTCTGTGGGGTGATCGTGGGGCAATGGCGGCCCGACCAATTGTATCGCACCCACCTTGGCTGGCCTGGTGCCAGTGCGTGTCATCGTGTGGTCATCCCGATGGTCGTTCTGCTGTTCGGCTGTTCAGTCGATTTGCATATTATGCTTTTATTATTATAGAAGATTACGGCGACACTCAGAAAGATAGAATAAGAACTATTAGAAAGGTGAAGCGGGTGATTTAAGCAGAGGTACCAGAACGTGAGCTCCTCTGGTGAATTTTATCTGTTTTGTTGGGTGCCCTGGTCTCATCCGAGAGATTTTGATCGTTGTCTCTCCTATTCTTGTGCAGGAGTATTCTTCGGTGGGGGGTCTGCTTTCTCGGTTCTGGAGGGTGTGCTCTCTCAGGGTCCTGGTCTCCACTGGGGCTCAGTAGATAGAGTTTCCTCTGGGGACTGAAGGGTCCCTGGTTTGATTCCGGTCAAGGGCACATGCCTGGGTGGTAGGCTTGATCCCCAGTAGGGGGTGTGCAGGAGGCAGCTAATCAATGATTCTCATCATTGATGTTTTTCTCTCCCTTCCTCTCTGAAATCCATAAAAAAATATTTTTAAAGATATATAGATTGCTGATAGCCATATGTATCTGTATCTGCAAAGGTCCCATTAGATCTTAAGGTTCCTCTAGAACAATGGTTCTCAACCTGTGGGTCGCGAGCCCTTTGGGGGTCGAACGACCCTTTCACAGGGGTCGCCTAAGACCATTGGAAAACACATATATAATTACATATTGCTTTTGTGATTAATCACTATGCTTTAATTATGTTCAATTTGTAACAATGAAAATACATCCTGCATATCAGATATTTACATTACGATTCATAACAGTAGCAAAATTACAGTTATGAAGTAGCAACGAAATAATTTTATGGTTGGGGGTCACCACAATATGAGGAACTGTATTAAAGGGTCGCGGCATTAGGAAGGTTGAGAACCACTGCTCTAGAAGGACTAATATTTTGAAAGTTGGGCAGGAAGTAAGGAGCCATTCTATGAAGGAAAAATCAGTGAAAATTATGGAGTATTATCCTTTGGAGAAAACCCACAGAGGCATATAATTTCCACGGAGTATATGAGGCATGCACAAATAAATTATGACATAACATTCATTGAGCAATTTACTGGGAGCAAACAGTGAACTGTGCATTATCTCATTGATTGCTCTGAACAACCCTGTGAATTTATTTTCCACATTATACAGATGAGGATAATAGAAGTTGACCAACTTGCCCAAGCCACAAGTTTGTAAAGATAGAGCTGGGGTTTGAACCCAGGCAGTGTAATCTAAAACCCTCTGGCACTTAACCACTCACCATACTACTACATCTAGGAATCCCTGGTACACAGTAGCTTGTATATAAAGAAAAGAATTTTGGATTTGGCTAAGGCCGCTGGCCTATCTGACTTGGTGTCTACTGCAAATTTTTGTCTAGTAACAGGAGAGATGTCAGTGGAGATAATGATTGAGGAATAGCGTGGTTTGCCTAGTGAGTTTAAGAGTGTGTGATAAGCATTCCATGCCTGAGGAAAGGGAATTCTTGGACCTGAGAAGATTGGTAATCTTGATGAAATGGGGAGAGTAATGGGAGACCTGTAGGGCTGAGGTGACAGATAAGGCCATTGAAATTGGGTGGGAGGACAAAATTAAAGACCGAGGACAGTGGTCAGCAAACTCATTAGTCAACAGAGCCAAATATCAACAGTACAACGATTGAAATTTCTTTTGAGAGCCAAATTTTTTAAACTTAAACTATATAGGTAGGTACATTGTTATTAACCTACCTATATAGTTTAAGTACTGTTGATATTTGGCGCCTCCCCCCGCACTGCCTATCCCGTGGCCCGCCTGCGCCGCCTCTCTTGTCCCCACTTCTTCTAACGCCACTTCTTCAAAATAGACTCGCTCAGGCCAAAAACCGACCTCTGCAAATGAGCCATGAAGTTTCAGTCGCACTGTACGTGCACGCCCGCACGAGGTATTTTGTGGAAGAGCCACACTCAAGGGGCCAAAGAGCCGCATGTGGCTCGCGAGCCGCGGTTTGCCGACCACTGACCTAGGAGACATAGCAGGGCTTTGTAATAATAAAGCCCCCAGTATGGCTGTGAAATGGTGATAGAAAAGAGGAAACTTTGGCAAAATGGACAAGTGAAATCAAAATAGTTGGTTGGCCATCAACATTAATTCTGTAGATTTTATGCTTTTGTAAAATTAAACCCTTATAATAAAATTATAGTATCTAGTGACAGGGGGTGTTAGTCTTGAATGTACCATTAAATCAAATCTGGACTATTTCCATTGAGTCAAATGCGAGTTAAAACTCAAAGATGTCCAGACTAGTAGAAAAATTAGAAGTTATTTCATATAAGAAATGACTAGAGGAACTAGTTTAGCTTGATGGGAAGATGGGGGAGTGGGGGAGGAGCCTAATGTATTTAGAAAACTGTCATGTGGGAAAGGGAGCTGCCTTATTATATGTTGATTTAAAGGGCAGATCAGAAGTTGGATAGAAATTACAGGGAAGCAGATTTTGGCCTGGCAAATTGGTGGTGCTCAGAAATGAAAGTGGTTCAGGGGCTGGATGATAGAGGTTAGAAGATATTTTTGTGTTGGGTGGGAGGCCGGGTAAGGTGATTGTTGAGATCTCTTCTAACTTTAAGATATACATTCGTTCCTCGGTATCTGCAGGGGATTGGTTCCTTAATTTCTACCCCCCCCCTTCCCATCTCCACCCCATGGATACCGAAATCTCCAGATGCTCAAGTCCCTTATATAAAATGATGTAGTATTTGCATATAACTTATGCACAGCCTCCCTAAATCATCTCTAGGTTACTGATAATACTAGTTGTTATACTGTATTGTTTACAGAATAATGACAAGAAAAAAGTCTGTGCATCTTCAGTACAGATGCAACCATCATAGGCTTAATCACATAGGACATGTCAGCAACAACATAACTTTTTTTTTCTTAAATATTTTTTATCCTGGTTGGTTAAATCTATGGGTGCAGAAGTT